CAAAAGCACTTCATTAACAATTCCTAATTAAGTTGGTTTATTTTCGTTTAACATTATGAATTTGCAATATGTAAAATCTCATTAAATTAAGCGGTTAAAAAGCATAAGCCAACAATAAGGACTAACTATTTTAAATGGTACTTACCTTCAGTAAGATGAAACTAAACCTTCACACCTTTGGCACAAGAAAAGAGATTTCATGATAAATTGCAACAGTTTCATAAGCAGATCAAGGTACAGTTTCATTAAACAAATCGTAAAATGTAAATAATTCCTGAAAACATCTAGGTCGTGTTGTTACATCTTAAAACGTTATGATCCGGGCATGCACATGCCTATTGCAAATACAGGAGAAATGAAACAGCCATTTTTTACACTCCATATTTGTTGCAATGAAAGTCTCATCACGACTGCTCAAAGAAATTTACCACCCACTTCTCAAGGATGGTTGGTCTTTTGTAATTAGAGCAATAAATTATGTCATTAAAAATCACAAATCAAGTAATTACGTCTCCACTCTAATGTGATAATTTAATTTGCCCTTAGTGTTTTAATAAGATGCAATACGATACGGATAAATTACTTGTTCTTCCATTTATTGCTTAAGAAATAATTGTTTATAAGCTCCAAACTTCAAAGATGACTTTCATTTGAAGCAATCTTACATTACATATTAACCGTACCTTCCTATTAATTTATTCCAACTTACAAATAACATTGCTTCACTCATTATCGATCTTTGTGAAATAAGAAAAACAGATTGAATAAGTTCCATAATTGTAAATGCAATAATATTTACCTGTTCGTTAATTGGAACGGTTGCGTTAAATACAGTTAAAATTAAATTAAAATTGTATCGACAACAAATCGTTTAATTAAAATGAAAAATAAAATTCTGGTAAAGTTGATAAATTATATCGCAAATAGCTTCCTATTTGTACATTGAGAAACACAAATAAATAGCTTATGTCATGTACTACTAGAGGCAACACCACTCATCATTAATCGTAATAAACTAACCCTCTGGTTGTCCCTGCCCCAAGTAATAAAGTAATGACACTGTTAAACTTGACTTTAATTTTATTAACAACTTTTAAGATTAACGCAACTCATCTAGATATAGTAATAAGCTAATAAATTTAATCTGAGTTTAATTACAGTAAAATTTATCTTTAAAGTAATTAACATTTTTATTTTATCAAACTGTGCATAAAATATACGCAAATTATGCAATGAGTTATATTTCTAACTACCAGTCTATCCAGCGATTTCTTTGCCACCCAAGTTATGTTATTTATATGCGCATATTTACAACGCCTATAATGTGTCGGCACTTTATTGTGTTAAAGTGCAACAACATGAGTGACTAATGGCAAATGATGAAAACTGCATCCGTGAACATACCACATTTGGCACTGATGGTATCAGATTTTTAAAACAGGAATTTGTTCTTCTATATTTGTTAAGTTTTAATGGACGCTTGCACCAACTTTATCCTTGGCAAATTAACAACAAGTGATCACAATTATTGTTCATTTATTTTGTTATAGTTAATACTTAATAACAAACACCTCTTACAACATACATTTATTCATAATTTTCAAATTTATTCAACTAACAACAAACTCTTCCTCAAGACTCGACAAATTTCTGTTGTAAATAATGATGTTTAAGTTTATGACAATTAAATTAAACGTAGTGTCGTGTTAGTACTTCTGGTAACCATAAATGTTTGCATGTTTCAGGCTTGGCTCTGCCTTGCAGAAACCCACTTGTTCCTTCCAGTAAAAATCAAAAATATTTGTAAAAATAATAAAACCAAGTCTAGTCATTGTCTGCAAAAGATGGATGGAGAGTTCATTGTCTAACAAATGTGATGAAATAAAAGCACAATTTTTCAATTACTCAACTCTCAAATTAAGAGCTTTTAAATCTTTCGTGTCTTTCACACGGTTAATTAATTACCTTTAAAATATTTGATTCAGGTGGCGTATCATTTATGATAAGTTATGGCATATTAAAAGCCGATTATTTGAAGAAATGGTTGAGTAATAATGTTTTAGCAATACAAATGCTATAACCTTGCCTATCCATTGTAAAAACTTAACAATTTAAATAAATTTGCTGGATTTCAAGACAACGAACTTTTACGCTCGTGATCCTTCTTGTAATTTAAAATCATAAATCATTTCGAGCAATTTATATAATTTTCCGAATAAATTCGCAACTAAGAAATGAGGCTTTGGTGTTTTAATTATTTTATTTGAATTTAAATTTCATGCTGATACTTCTCAAGCAGCGTCAGGTAGCATCAGATGTCTTCATTCTTTAACAATGATGCTAACAGCTTATTATTACCGTGAGATATTCTATCATAAATATAAAGTACCTCCTAGTTAATTGACAATTTTGTTGTATCAATGTTCTCACCATAGGTATTAATTTCATACTGAAATACGGAAGTGTAGAACATTTTCAACAGTAATTCTTTGTTTTTCAACAATGAACAAGTTTACATAAAATATAATTATTATGTAAGTAAGTCAACTACAAAGAGCTTTAATTAATTGCAACTTATTTACTAATCGTAATACACACATCTTAAGAGTTAATGAACAATTCACATATCGCATTTGCATGTTATGTACCATTGTGTGCACCTACGCTAATTTATTATTTCTAACGAAACTGTGCCCATTTCAGGACAATCTGATTTAGTTGAGACCATTCCAATTCTTTATAAAACAATTACAAAGTAAAAATAATGCAAAATGCGACCCACGTTTTCATAACAGAAAAAACATGAAAATTATGCATTAAATAATGACATAATTATCTCAATAAATCAACGTCCCTTTGTCGGAAAATAAGAAACTTGACTCATATAGTAATTCGTTTTGTTTTTTTTTTTTAGACTAATTTGCTTAATGAAATTGCTGCCTCGTGCGTGTGCTTCGGTTTGCGTTTTTTTTCAGTGAAATTAATTTTGTCTTAAATGGAAAGTAAATACTTAATATTAAAAAGGAGATAGGTATGCAGTAACATCTTGGGAAATCTTGACACACTGATCTATTAAGTAGAACAAAATGTTTTGTCAATCCTCTAAATTGAGTATAAAGTTGTAACACGGCGAAAAATATGTGAAATTAATCATGATGCTATTGCACTAACTTTTACCTAAGTAAGTTTGTTATAATTTAGAAATATTGTCCTGGAAAAGTGCAATAAAGCCTCGACGGCGTTGAAAAATAAGTTGCGCAACTTATTGATAATGTCACACACATATTTTTCTTCTCTAAGATAAATATTTTTCTTGGGAAATTCAATGAAGCATGAGCGGATATATCCTGAGTGTTCTCCAGTTTTTCGAAATCTGCGAGTGGAAATAAGAGTTTGCATACGGTTCACTTGCGTAATTTGAGGTTTATGCAAATAACATTAAAATTGTTTGAAGTCTGCTATCGTGATGCCTCCATGCCTAAAAGTTTCTCATCCGTCCTGTAATTTATTTCCCTTATATAGTCAACTAATAGCGACACACGTGTATTCTGCTTTTTTTTCGAGTTGTTGGAATTGTCAGTATTTTATCAATATTACAAGACTTCTACCAAAACGTTACACATCCGATCACACTGAGCATTTTGCAATCAAGTTACAACAAAGTAAAAACATAATAATTTTTATTTTTTAACTAAATTAATTACTTTACAATTTTCATGATATTAATGCCCGATTGTATCTAAGTTTTTATTTATAAAAAAAGCATAAAATAAATTTAAGTTTTATTGGTGCACAACGCTGCAAAACTCTTTAAAATAAAATAAAACAGTAATAAGCTTGATAATGAATCTTTTAAGTTTGAGCACACAACAATTTTAACATAATTTTATGTAAGCTACATTTTAAAATAGCTCATTAAATAGCAAAATTATAAGGTTCGCAACTATATCTACTGCTTTTATGAGAAAGTAACCTGCAGTTTAGTAAATTAAGTCTCATGTACCGGATTATTTACTTCATAAAAACGTAAACGCAAGTCGTTAGTTATACGTGTACATATTATATTAAACATATGACGTCTTACTGATTTAGATCCTTTGAGTTCCAATTGATTAAACTTTAGCATTTTTTGCTCACAAATTTTTGATAGATTTCATTCCATTTCACTCAATTAGATGCTACAAATAAAAATCAAAATTGGAAGAGCTTACTCTTATATAATCCACTTAAATTATCATACTAATTGTTCACGATTTAAGTGGCTTCTCGTGCAACTAAAACTCATTTACGTTATGCGATGCTCACTTATTACAGCATTTCTCTCTTTTTATTTTATTGGTATGTCTAGTTAAATTAACATAATGGGTGGTTTCTTTTCAAATAATTTAAATTTAATGCAAATAATTCCTACAAAAATGCAGCAAATAAATCACAAAAAATTTTGAAATAGTGAAGATTCCATCCCGGCAATTAAGGCAGAGTTGCACAAGAGAGTAATAAATAAATCATTTAAAAAAATCAGATTAATCGCAAACAATTCACTCCAGATTTAGATTAATCCGATCTTAAAACATTGCACCGAATCGACGACTCACTGAACCACTTCAATGCAATCGCCTATGAATACGCAAGAGATGACTTATCGTATCGAATCGTAAAAGAATTGGCGCATCACGAGTCGTTCTCCGTTTGTTTTAGCACCGAAAGGTGTCTAGAGGGGAAGAGAATTAAGCTGATGGTAGGGTGCTTTTTCGTAGTGATGGTACTGTAGCAAGGTTTTGGGATGAAAGTAAAATATTTTGTGATTACACCCACTATTTGCTGCTTTGGTATAAAAGCAAAAGCGAAGATTCGCACAGCCAGACCATCCCAAATCATCTTTAAGCAAAGACAGTTTGCTATAGTTTTATAGTTACGGATTTTAGTGCAACTATGAAGGTAGGCAATGTGACAGTGACAGTGATTTTTACCGGTAGTAAATACTAATTTTTTGTGTACAGGTGTCTCTTGTCTTTTTCGCTACTGCGGCTCTTGTTTTGGCCGAGCCCCCAGTGCCGAACAGTCAGTACCTCCCGAGTAACCAGTACGGTCCTCCAAACAACCAGTACGGCCCCCCAAGACCATTCTCACCGCCGTCGAATCAATACGGAGCACCGGCACAAACCACTGCTATTGTAAGGCCAAATAATCAGTATGGTGCTCCACGACCAGGAGGCAATTATTTGCCACCAGGTCAAGGGGGTAATGGAGGGTATGGAGGAAATGGCGGATATGGAGGTGGTGGATACGATGACCAATCCGTAAGATATCTAAGTAGTTTAAGTCTTACTTTACCCTTGTTTTGCCTCACCAATTTTAATATATATTTTGTGTAAAAAAGTAAGAAAAAAGGTTAAAACCAAAGATTTAATTAATAGCAGTTTATTAAAAAACAAAAATTTATGGAAAATAACAATAATAAAAATTAAATAAAAAACTACTCTTTAGAGTTTTAAAATATTCATAAAATTTTGAAAGATTATTAAGACTACATGTTCAGTAAAATTAGTAATACTCGTAGCAAATGAATTATTTTAATAATTAATGAAAATTCTTAATTAAAAGTTAATTTAATTTACCACAACGTGCGAAACTTTTATCATTCATTTATTTGACTTACTTTTAAATTCTTTATAAAGGTTTCGAAATGGCAAAAATCAATTGAAATTTTTATTTTGAATTAGTAAAATACAGGGTGATTCAACCAACATTGGTGGTTGAAAATCGAGAATTTGGTCAGGCTCTTTATTCCTCGTGAATCACCTTGTATATTAACACAACTATTCGCAATTGAAAAAAGTGTTTCTATTTTCATATTTTATAAGAAGAATTGGAAACAAAAATTCTACAGGTGTTTTGAAATCAATTAATTTAATTTTTTTGTTTTAAAAAATACGTTTTGTACACTTTTAAGTGTCTAATTCTTATAATTAAAAAAATAATAATAAGTAATAATTAAAAATTACCATAGCATTTTCATGAGAAATGCATTTTTCACAGATTTTGTTTTTCCATATTTTTATAATTTGAGTACTGTTTTAATTTACGTACTTCTTATTGTAGTTAAAATTTTTATATTTATAAACAAAAAAATTTTTTTCAAAGCAAAATGAAATTATAAAATAAAATGCACTAAAAAATAGATTAGATAAGATAAGATAAGATTAGATAACAAATTTCCTGTATAAAAACAAAAAAAATAAAAATAAGTATTAATTTACTAATTTTGTATTAATAGATACTTAATGACTATAAAAAACAAGTCAAAATTATTATGCATTTTTTAGGAAATAATTTATAAAAAATTTAGGAAAAAAATACAAAAAAATAAAAAAATATGTATCTTTTTTCTTTTAAAATACTTATTTTATAATTGGTAATAACATCAACTGTTCTTATTGTAACATTTTATGACAAAAGCTTTTTTATTTCGAATCATAACTAAATATTTTTGATCACTTGTGCGTAAGCGTAACAATATAATTAATTGTGAACAATTATTCCAAATTGTCATTTCTACAGCCAATACAATAATTTATTGTTATTTATAACAGGTGCGTAAGCTCATTACAAAATGAAATTACAACATAACAGACAAGACAATGTCGGTTAAGAAGTTTCGAATAAAAACAAATATACCATTTTATAATTGATATTTTTGTTCTACAAACTCATCATAATTCAAAAAATATAAAATCTACGAAAAAATGTACTCGTTATAATATTTACCTGTTTAACTAAAGCAAGCAATATTTTGATCGTCTTGATAATTTAATTGTCTATTGTCCAGTTTCTCATATTTCGTTTTTTTTTTAATTTTTCACCTATACAATTATCGCTTCCAAATTCGATATTTGTTTAAATCAATTCACAACGGCGGAGGAGTTAATTTATATCACAATTTCGCAAACACCCTTTTCCATTCAATATCTCACAATCCAGGAAACACTACCGTCAAATAAATAATTCCACAAAATAATTTATAGTCAAAATGTGCATTCCACAAATTGCATAACACTTTCTTTTGGCAATAATTTAATCTACGTATAAATATTAATATTCAAATCTCCTAATTCCTATAAAACAAGACCCTATTACGTCACAAGCAAATGATGAATGATATGTATCGGTTTCATCGTACCACAAGTAGCAAAATTATTCAACCTGCTCTCACGCACAGTTGCTCAACCACCTCTTTTCTAAGGAACCGGCCAACTACAACTTCGAGTACCACGTCCAAGACGCCCAATCCGGTAACGATTTCGGCCACCAAGAGTCGCGCCAAGGCGACGTCGCCCAAGGCAAATACTACGTGCTCCTCCCTGACGGTAGGCGTCAAACTGTCGAATACATCGCTGACAATGAAGGCTACAAGCCGAAAATCTCCTACGAACAAGTGAGCAACGGCATCGGGGGCGGGTACGCCAACGGCGGCTATCCAAGTGGCGGCGGCGGTGGATACTCCAACGGTGGGGGTAATGGAGGTTATCAGTATTAAAGTACCATAGATAGAATAGAAAATTGAAAGCTTGATGAAGATGTTGATGTTTTTGTATAGGCTCCCATTTTGTGATATCATTGTCAAAAGTTCATTTTTTTTTCATTTCTAAATGTTGACATCTTATCAAGTATTAAAAGTACCTTAATAGTCTTCAGAATTGGGACTATCATAGTTTGTAAAATATGTACATTGTACTTCTTCACCTTCACATGTCGATAACGAAAACGAATATGGATAACGATTTGCATAAGATGAATGAAATTTGCTCTTTAATATAGTTTTCATTCATTTTATCTTGGATTTGTGTATTTATTAAATGCCATATTTAAGTATTTAGACTAGTTTCCAAGTATTACCTAATTATTGCTGTCATGTTTATACCTCTATTTTGTAATGAAATAAAGAAGTTTTGCATTATTTTTTTCTTTGTTTGACCAAAATGTCAATGATTTTTTAAGTGGTACAAAACAAAATACAAGCATTGTTAAAATGCCATAATTGCAGACAAATTATAAAATAAGAAATAAATTTTGAAATACATGTTCTCATTAAAACGAAGAACATTTTAAATATAAAGTGTGTCGCCTGCAGTAAAATGAAAAATTTATGGAGGTATTGTATTCAGGTGTTGATAATATTTCACAACAAATTAAGCCCAGAGCTTATGGCAAAAATTCTTTTAATGCAACGTAAACATTAGCCATATAAAGTCTAGACTTTAATTACTGTGGTCACAAATTTTCTGTAAATTAATTAATAATAAATGATAACCATCTAAGTATGTTGCGTTATTTCATAAAAATATCTGTTACAAAAACTAGGTTTATTTCTATGAAACCTTGGGCAAAATTTGACGTATTTCAATTAAAAATATTTTATTAACGTGAATAACTATAATTTTGTTTGTTCACGCATCATACTCTAATAACCGCAAGAAATCAAATCCTTACATAAATTTAATTTTTTACTGCGGCAACACTGACATTATTGATTTAGTGTGGCAGTTTATTAAAAAAAACTATTTTCTATTTTAAATGATGTAATTTTTTGTGCAATATTTTATACATATGTATTTCACAATTGTCGAAAAAGCTATTCGATACATTGCTCCAAGTCATTTCTTATATTTATTGCTGTATGATCAAAATGTTTTGGTACTGTGTTTTAAAAATATTCGATTTGCTTTCACCGGTTCACGAGAAAATATGGATTTATTAATTTGTCAGTAACATGTTTTAAGTTTTCACTTTTCTAGTTTTCTATGATTATACTGGTAATACAAGGAAAAAAACGTTAGGTGAACAATCGAATTCAAGATGGTTATTAACACACCAGTTGTAAATAAAAAAAATCCACTCCTTTTTCCTATTCATCAATATCAGGGGTCAGTAACCATTAATAAAGTTATAAAAAATACTTATATTTAAAAAAGCAAACTCTAATAAGCCAAATCTACTTTTAGATACGGTGAACGCATTTATTATTATGTGCTCAGTAAAAAATCTAATAAATATTAATTTAATAATACTAATATACCAAGAGCATGATAAGTGGATTATGACCCAAAGAAATGTTTGAAGCCCAACATTAGGAAAGCATTTAATTTTCTGTGCGTCATTATCGACAATTATGCACGTGATACATTCAACATTTTCTTGTATTTTGGATTGCATTTTGTTTCTCTCAAATAAGAATTTAATAGCTCCCGCAATTTTGTTGTAAAAATCGAGATCGCCCATTTTGCCACTGTTATAGATTCCATGTGATTCCGTATGAAAGCCCAAAGGGTCCTCAGAAAAGTTTATCGTTCCAAAATACAAGAGCATTATAAGGATGTATTAATAATTTAAAATTCAATATTTTTAATGTAAACTAGCTCGTGAAAGCAGAAAAAAATGATTATTAAATAAAGCGGTAATATTTGAACAACAAGCACATCATTTATGTAAAAGAACAATTTAAAAGTTGCGAGAAGGTAGGCAACCCCATACATTGTAGAACATGTGCAAATATTTTATCAAGCAATAGTAGAGCTCAAAAGAAATCAAATAACTCAACTTGCCTTATCTGAATCTTTATAGTTTCTGAGTGAAACCTTCACATTGGCGTCGAAAAAAATATCAAAATAATGAAACATAAACGAATTTTGAACATTTCGAGTCCTTTATCCCAAAGTTTACATTGCTAGCAATAGGTAACATTTGAGGTAATGAAATTGAGTGATCTTCAACAAACAAAATCAAAAATTTTTACCGTTTTATGAATTTTTTTTAATGAAGACTCTTCTTTCTGTGTCTGTTTTTGCTGATTTTGACTATCTTTCTTTTAAACAATTTTAAAGAACTAACCTCAGAGATCATATTTGTTTACAATTTGAGTTGGTGAAATACAAGGCTGCACCAGAAATTTAAATTTATTCGACGAACAAATTATAAACATTCGGATAAGGAGAGTTGAGTTATTTTGACTTCTTTTGAGGTTTACTATCACCTCTTAAAATATATTTACATATACCTCAAAATCACCCTGTATAAAGAAATAGTCGAAAAATTGTTACTTATTGTTTCTAATTACTTAAAATGGTGAATTGCCCAAGCATTAGAAGGACCCTAGGCCTCCTACACCGGTCAAAATTGACTGACTAATAAAACAACGTAAATTTTGTACCGTGACAACACATTTTTTTTAAAATTATCATATTATACTACAAAAAATGTAATGGTATAAAATATAGAAATGTTAAAAATAATTCCAGCACTTCCCCAGTTGCATATGAAGAAACGACTGATTTAATTTTTTTTTAATCTGAGTTTGAGGAATTACTATTTAGACGTTTTTGTTTGAATTTTAAATGCATCGTCACGAATTTTGGGATGGTGTATTAAAAAACAACAAACATTAAATTTCTGTTGAGTTTCAAATGCAATGAAGAATCTTTTTTATTACATATAACAATATTGGAAATAAAAAAACAAAAAAGTAGTTTGAAGTTTATTTACATTAACTTAATTAATCAATTACCTTATAAATAAATATACATCAATAAAAAAAGTTATTTTACAACCACTAATGCTAATTTTAAGCTAATGGTAGGACGATAGGTAAACACAAATCACGTAATTACGTACAAGTGTACACATAGCGTAATCTATTCACATCCAACGATTGTTACAACCAAGTTTGTAAATATAAATATTAGAATGCATGACCATTAAAATATGACCACCAATATAATCGCTTTTTAACTAAAGCCATGCTACAATCCTAATCAAACGTAGCAAAAAAAATGTCTCTTATTATATTGCACTACCACGTGGATGGCGTAGTTTACAGCCCATTTAGATCATTTAATTCGGATTATCCAATCCTTAGTGAAATGTGTTTCTTACATTTACAACAATTAAATAAATATGACTTAAATACTCGCAAATGTTTTTGAATCGTATCAGAAAACAAAATTGTCTTTTTATTAAAATAAAAACATTCATTAAAATAATGAATTAATAATTTACAACAAAAAATTAGTTATTCGAGATTAAACAAATTATTTCGTAAACATCGTTAAATCAGAGAAGCTTTCTTTTCTATTGCTTATTAATTCTAAATAAAATATCACATAAAAGCACCATTTCATATTTGTAATTTGAAGCAGTTTTGACGAAAATTACAAAATAATTTGTAGGTGTTTTTCAAAACTAAGAAACTTATAATTTTTAAATATCAAATTAATTACTGAATTACGCATTTTTCCTTCGGTTGTAAGTCTAACTGTGATAAATCTTGTTCTATTAAATCGTCTTCTTCGATTCTGTAAAAATAAAACCGGCAACATTAAAAGGCAACAAATAATTACTACTTACGCTTTTTCTTGATTGTCCAAATGATGAACGAGCTCATCTCGTTTATTAACTATTTGCACAAGTTCATCTAACAACATTTGCTCGCGATTTCTTTGCTCTTCCGTTTTTCTCCAATCTTCGATCGATGCGATCTTCTGCAATTCTTTATTTAACAGTTTATATTTCGTCTCTAGATCGGCTTCTTTCTCTCTAAACACATTCCATTAAAAATTATGTAAAACACAAACTAAAAACAACTTACAATATGTTAAGTTGCATTTGCCTTCTAAGTAAAGCGTTTTTCTTATTAACAAACATAAACCATTTGGCCATAAGAGCTTCCTCCTCCTCTCCATTACTATTTGCAGATTCCATTACTAGTCGCAACTGTTTTTCTAGAACAGCCGCCTGTTCATCTATGGCACTTTGCTCGCGCTCTAAATCTTCCATTTCTTTATCAATCCAATTATGTACATCAATACCCATCTTCAAAATTAATTTTATTAATAAAAAAGTTAACAAAACTTTACCTCAACTCACTTCTTTTAACCCTAATTCGTCTGGTAACTTATCTGGAGTAATCCTTTCTCTACTACTAGGACTAGATCTTTCTGAATTCCCTTCCGAATTATCCTTACGAGAATAGACATTACCGTTCTTTTCAGAACCTGTAAACATTCCTAAATACTCGCTGACCTCAAATAGAAATAATTTTTATCTACCGGTGCTATTTTGACGTTCAAAATTTGCATTCCCTTCATTCAAACTCTTCTCTTCATTTTCTAAAAAGTTTTTAACCGAGTCTGGACTCAGCCGAATAATCTCAGTTTGTGGCGTAGAACCTCTCCGTGCTTCGGCCAGTATTTTCCTTGCTCTTTCACGCAGTTGCGCTTGTCTTTCTTCTTCAGACTGTTAAATCGGATTAAAATTTTAATAATTTCATCAAAATAACGTAATGTAGAATAAAAAATTAAAAATGGTATAATAATGACAAACTAGCAAGATGAGAAGGGCTAGAAAAAAGCTACATACCCTAGTAGGGGAAGTGGTGATGGAAGCGTCTTTTCTGGCCTGTTCAAGCAACTGCCTGGCACGTTCTCTTTGCTCTGAATGCCGCATAAGTATTTGCTGCACACGCGTCAAAAACATTTTAATTGCAAGCCAAACCTTCACAGCAAAATGTTAATTTATTAGCATATCTCCTAATCATTACACTGCCCCACTGACTCTGTATTAACAATAGAGGACGTTCCATATTTTCAAAAATAATATCGGTGATAGGAAAAATTATGCATTGGAACGAGCAGTGGTGTACTAAATTAACAATGCGAGAAGCCTAATTTCAAACAATTTTCTTTTAAATACACACACGAAAATACTTGTAAGATAAATTTCAGTTAAAAAGTCATCTTTTTCAGTAATTCATTGCGCATCTTAGTATCTACCTTAAAATTGTTGGCTTTACCGGGGTTCGAACCCCGCAACACTACCACGCCGCCGACATTTTCTCTCCTATAATCCAATATATTCATACATACACAAATTTTTTCAAAAACTTTCTCGCGTATCTACAACGTTTGAACATATTTCTGAGTCTTTTGCACTATAAGTGAATAATTTTTGAAACTCGATCCAAGAACGTTTTATCTCTTTTTTGTTCTAAAACTAGTTATTAACTATTGTATGTTATTTTTGCAAATACAAATTTCGATAACTCAAGATTGTTTCTGCAGATTTAAAAAGCATAAACTGTCAAAGTGAAATTAGGCAACTCAAATCAAAAGTGATTCAAATGGTCTCGAATAAATGCAAAAAACCAAACTTGCAAAAAACTTAAAAACACTCTTGTTAAAACTCACCGCGTTCGGCTTGGGAAGATCCGAAAACACATCATTCTGATTTTCCTTTTCCTTATCTTTAATTTTATGATCGCCAGATCCGTTCATCTCATCGGCTTCAGGTACTTTGCTATTGATGACTTTATTATCAGTAACTTCTTCCTCATCATCAGATCCGAAAGGATCTGTGAGTTCTCTCCGTGTCATTAAAAGCGGTTTTTTTACTTCCGGCTTCTTGACCTGAATTTTGTCTTTCGAAGGCGAAGACATTACTTTACTCATAATGCTTTTAGAGCCAAACAAAATAATGTCTTTCATGTCTTTAACAACAGTCGGGGATTTTTCTTTGGATTCTTTTGGAGTTTCTGCAGGCTCATTGGTGATTTTCAACGGAAGCTGTAATTTCGATGCGGCGATTTTCATATCTTGATGTTGACTAATTTCCTTATTTGTCTGATTTAACTCTTTCTCTTTTTTAGAATCTTGTGATTTATTTAACTAAACATAACAAAACGGTTTCATTTTGATAACGTTTGACCTTGACATGCTTTACTACCTGTTGATTCTGCTTCGCTTTCCTTAAATTAATAATCTCTTGACCAAAAACTTGTTTTGTAATATCTGTATCTTTATCAGTGTTGAATTTCCCAATGACATAATTACTTTCCTCGGAAGTTTTACCGATTTGTTGCACCTCTAATTGATGACCCGTGAAGTGTGCCCTCAGCTGGTGCAAGTAAGTCATTACTGCCAACTTATCAGGTACTAAAATCCCCTCTTAACTATATTTTTATTAATAATTTAACAAAACCAACCTGCCAACATATGCATATCAGTAGGTTCAATCACCCTCGGTATTCCTAACTTATCACCGGCATCGAACGCTATCTTACAATTTCCTTTCACATCGTGGGGTGAAAGAGAATTGAAGTCACTATAAAAAAAAATTAGAAAAAATTCTGGCACCATTTGATCACTTACATTAAGTTCGGTTCAAAATGATGTATAAGGGCACAAAACGCCATTCCGTTCCTCCAACTCGTCGTCAAATTCGTAACCTTAACTCCAGGATAATGTTTCGTCATTTCTTTACACCACTCCAGTAAATCTTGACCTAATACAAAGAAGTTAATAAGAAAAATTTTTTTATTTATTGATCACCTGGAGTTGTCAATTTTTGTGGTTGATTCTTTGGTAAATCAATATGTTCCTTCAATTCTAAAGGTTTTAATTTCAAATTTACACTTTTAGGTCTCGTCACACTCTCACTCTCTCCATCTTCCTCTAACGCATCTAACTTGTCTAACAATTCAGTACATTGTTCTGAGTACGGGTCGACATCATCCTCGGCAAAATCGCTAAATCTAGGTGGTGGAACCCCGGAAACTTTGGGCTTTTCCGAAATCGGTGAAAAATTCTCGGCTGTCGGAGTTTTATCGTCTCGGGAAAACGATTGAATACTTGCAACTTAACCAAATTTTAACAAAAATTTCAATCAATTAAACTATAACTAACCACTAATTGGAGTACTCGCGAAATCAGACCCGGACAAACTATTTGTCATTTGTTGTAAATGTTGGGTCACTTCGTTAATACTGCTTTTGACCGAATTATCGTTCTGACATAGAGAGAAATCGTCGTCTTCTACATCTTCTAATGCGGCAATATCATCGCTGTTATTATTTACAGACATTAGAGACGCCATTGACTGCATATCTTCATCCCTGGTAACAAAAATACGTAAAATAATAGCCAATAAACGTCTCGTAAATCACAACTCACGTCGCTTTTCCTTCTCGTAAAAGAACGCAAGATAGAGTGCAGTCAAGTTTGGCGGAAGTAATTTTCTTTGTTGTAGTCTTAAACGATATTTGTAATTCTGAGTGAGTTGATTCGATGCTGGCATACTTTCGCATATTGACATGTGCAACGGCAAGTTGTCGTCTTTTTCCGGTCGTTGGGACCTTTCAAGTCAAAATTAATACAATTGTAAAAAATGCATTCTCACATAAATAAATATGTAGTTTCAAAGATATTTTTAGACATGAGTCGTAAGTGTTTATTAATGATAATCAAATGTACAGTGATTAGAATTTAGTTAAATAATAATTAACATAAAACATGTTTCGTCTCAGACTTAAACTGCATGAGTAAGGAATTCGTAAAAAATTGTAATCACAACTGAATCATGAATCTGGGTTTAAATCATCATAGACAAAACTGTATTCTACTCTCGTGACAATAAAATATTTGTCTTTTTTCTTTCTTTGTTAATCAATTTCTTGCTTAAAGTAAATAATGAGAAACAATTAAAAGTTAAAAAATCTCGTACAAAGCTTTCATTAACGTAATAACTGAGTACTAAATACACTTTTTTAAATTCAAATTATCGATGAAGTGAATAACGCAAAATAACAAAATTGACGAAAAGCTTAGACTGTGTTGTAGCTTGTGAAATTTCTATTTTGAGTCATTTAAGAATCAAAAATAAATGGTTGTGTAAATATATTTCACTTTTTTTGTATATTAAAAGAAGATAAGACAAACTGAGAGTAAGTGAAAGACAGAAATGAAATAACAGTAAAAGAAAACTCTATAAATTCGGAAATATTAAATTCTCAATTCATTATTACAAGTATAAATTTTCTTCTAAAAAACCTATTAAGCAAGCGATTTTTTTGGTTACAAATTAAGAAATTGATCTTTAATTCAACACCTTTATAAAAGTCTAAACCACAAAATAATAGAGTTATCAATTATCATATCAGGTTAATTTTACAAGAATGTCCTCAACAAAATATGAGCCCAGTTTAGTATCAAAATTTTAAGTAAAGATTAAACAAAATAGGTAACTAAGTTTTTTATCGCTAGAAAACACACACACATAATAAGAAACACATAATAAGAAAAAAATAATAAGAAACCGAATTCAAAAACGTTTTGGGTTCTAAACGAATTTTTAATTTGTAAGCAAAATTTCTAATTATTTATAAAACAAAAAATTCAGCATACATTGAAACATAAGAAAACTGTTTTCCTGTTATTATAAACACCTATATCATGTTTTCAAATTAACAAACTTGTTTATTAGTTTCAGTATTCAATAAGAATGAATTATACGTTTAGTTTCAGTTAAAAAATCTAGTACTCTATAATAAATTTACTTTAACAAAAAATAAAAATTAAATCTGCAACAAAAAATCTGTTTGAAACAAAATTAATTAATGTTTGCACACATAAAAACCTTATGTCTACACAGTTTTCTTCATCTAGACGCAAATACTGTTTTTAGCAAAACAATTACTTAATTTAATTTAATCTATCACCAACAATAGAGTTAGATATAGCCTTGGCGTTAGCCAAATTCATAAATTATTTATCTTTCTTTAAATAAAATATGTATTAAAATCTATTTCCTTTAAAAACTTACATCTTCTATAATAAATGACCATTCTTTATCTTCTAACTCCGAAGTTCTAGGATCCCTAAATAAAGTAATAGCTACTTGATGATTTTCTGGCACGGGCCAAACCACTAAACCCTTGTAAGCATTTTGAAGAGTGGGCTCCCATGCCATTGGGGCGGAAGCCACCCTGCGAGACCTACGTGACCATACCAATGACAGTTTGTGGGGTTGCCTAAAACATAAAGTAATGATATTCATTTAGCATGAAGAATAAACCTGTAGGGACTTAAATTAATATTCATGACATGTCATTGACCAGATAGTAAAACAGGAAATAAGCGTGACTGCATTGAAATTTTTTGTTCCTGGAGGAAGTGCAGTTGGTCTAATTAAAGAAAATAATAATTGCTGCTGCATTATGCTGGTTATGTAACCTTGTTTGGCTTATTGATTTTCGCTCGTAACTGTGGTTGATCAAAGCACGAAGTGTCCCCATTATAGGGTTTCAAATATCTCATAAATCATCTTGAGAAGCTTAATGAAATGTAAACACTGCAATCAAAAAATAAATATATACTTGCCATTTTGAGGTGAATTCTACTGCGAGCTGATGATATGACACCGTGAACTGAAACTTTGCCGCACGTTTATTCACTCTCTGAAGTCGTTTCCAGACAGATCCCATGCTGGAACCCTCACTAACACAAGACATCATTGTGGACAGGTCAAAAAGTAAACAAATTAGATGTAACTTTGCTGGGGGAAAACACAGACATCAACATATCAGTTTAAAGATAAGCACGAATTGATAGTACGGCGAACAGGATGAAAATGTGAAATTATCAAAAAGAGTAGATAAAGAGTGCATGACATTCCTCAAACAAAGTTATAAACAATGTGGGTAAATGTTTATACCTAGTGATAAATTAGATGGTAATAGAACAATTTGCGTTCAAAAAATTAGTGATTTGCATCATTTGTAAGAACTTTGACATTATTAATTATTAACCTTGTATGAATCACTTGACACTTGGGTCAGTATTTGGACATTGACAAATTTCCAAATCAATTTACGCACCAGGTTTTTTCGTTAACATACCTTCAAGATTACCTCCACTAGTAGTTCATGGTGGAATGTTATTGGAGAAAATAGAAAAGTTCTGATATATGCCCCTAATTTCCTTATAAAGATAAACAGAGCGAAAAGATGTAAAATATCAATTTATTTTTCTCTTGTCATTTCACTGTTGTATTGACAGTTTTGCGCTCCCTCGGTAACAAAGATTACTGCTGCTTACTGTTACCATTTGTTTTCGCTTTGCGCCATAGATAGCACTACCAGCACTGAGTTAAGCTTCAGGACCGTATCCTATTTAAATTGGCCACAACAAATAAAGTAATTAAGAGTGTTTCAGACAAAAACTCTGCTTCTCTTGGAATAAAAATAAAAAACTATAAATAAAGAATATGCTTTGATGTCAGTTTTCTAATTGGTTTTCTCTGAAGCATTTATTAAAAACTGCATTCTTTTAAATTTTTGTTTTGAACTATTTAAACAAGCAAACAAATGCATTAAACAAGTTTTTAGATAACAAATAGCACAGAAAATTTAACCCTTCGTTAGTCGCGCATACACGGTGAATAAAAAAGTATGGAACCAAGCGTTTTTTTCGAAAACTAACTAATTTACAAAAAAAACACTTTCCTTATCCTACTTATTTGGAAAACATCCTAATAACGACAATAATTTAGTGTAACATTTGCGTTAGTGATTACACGCGAAATAGATCAAAGTTATTATTATTACTGTTTAATAAGGTACGAGTAGGTATATTTCATGATTCTAAATAATTTGTATTCTCATGAAATATATCTTATTAAACAGTAAAATGTGATAAAATAAAAATAATAATGGGTGCCAAACTTAAAAAAATGCACCCTAGACTCGAACAACTTTACTATTTCGCGTGTAATCCAGCAGGTGGCACTGACGCAAACGTTGGGTGTGCTACTCGGATTTCCGACGTCCATGGTAAGGATGTTTTCCAGATAAGTGGGATAAGGAAAGTCGTGTGATGTTTACACCAGATTTTTTAATTAAAGACTATGATCTAAAAATGAATTCTAATTAAATAAAATTATTTTTTAACCAGTAGTTTGTTTTAATATTTTTTTTAAAGTTGCGTTCCGAGCTAATCATAAAGATTTTTCTAACTTAACCGAAGTGGCTTTGATGTTTCTTTTTTTTTTTGCTGTTTAATATGCCTAGCAAAATTTAAGTGTAGCGTGTACCTACATTTAAATACAAAATTATCAAAAAGTCTTTCTATCAAGTAGTCGCACAAGTTGAGATGTTGTTATTACTTCTTATCTAATAATTAGATGTTGAAAAAAGTTTTTATAAAAATTAAAATACAGATCTACAAGCCAGTTGCATTATTTTATGAAATTTCTCAAAGCATTCTTAAATCAAATGTTTTCGATGTTTATCCATACAACCACGGTCAGAATTAACTGCAATCGTAATTTTAAAATTTTTCTTTTGTCTTTAAAACATTTTATTTTCTGCGAACACACGTTCTAAATTTCTACGTCACTAGCTTTTTGATCTCATGGTAACGGGTTTTTTTTTTAATTTTTCGTCCTAGTTGGCGGTGACTATGGGTGTGTTGTGAACGAACCACAATTATTAAAGACAGATTAATATGCAAACATTTAATACGATGACTCGTTCACAATCAAACTTTCATGGATAGCTTTGCTACCTATTATTATAAACAAGGACAAAAAACAATGATATAACGGGTGTTTTTTTTAAAATTTGGTGCCTTATAGTTAGGGTGACTATGAGTGTGTTGTGAACAATTTTTCTAATACGCCCAGCGAGGTGTCAAATGTCATATTATTAACTTTCAATTTAATGGTTCGTTTACTATTAAACTTTTATTTCAACTTTCAAACACCCCTTACTAGTTAAAACATTCGAAAATATAAATCTATAATACTTTCAATTAACAACTTCAGTCAATGTAGAAAATTGAATATAGGATTCTAATAACTCTCATTAATTGATACTGTTTTAAATTAAAGCATTTGTTTCAAAATATTTGGATTTAATTAACATTTACATTAATCTTTGCAAACCTCAAAGAAAGAAAAAACGAGGTAATTGAAAATGTCTTTAATTAATTTTATCACAACGTTATAATTATTTAAAGACGCAAGTTCGCAACGAAACGCTCGAAATGGACAAATCCAGTGAATCTCCTCTAAAACGTAGTCTCCACACTAATTTATCTTCGTTAAAATGTGCTTCCTCTTTTACTTATTCAGCACTTCAATTCGAGACTACTGGAAGCTTCAATATACGCAGATAGCTTTTTCCATGTTTAAAAAAAGTTCTAAAAAGAACTAAAATACAAGTATCGTAAATAAAGGCGAATATTGTTGCATAAATGCGATGACTCTTGTAGATAGAATACTAGGAGAGTCCTTAGAGAGCTCTATCAGTTTCAGTTCTCGGATATCGCCCACCCGCTGCAGGATTAATTTTACCTCAGAATGAAATATCTGTGTAGGGCAACACGTTTCTTCCGGCTAGCGATTCTAGCAGCATTCCGAATATTAAGGATTCAGAATGGCTCTGTAAAAGACCTTTTCATCTATCAAGATCAGACTTATGTCATTGCGTCTTTAGTTGACGTTTCCAACTTTTTGTCTATGTGATTATACATTATGTTAGGGCTCAAAGAAACAAATCCTAGATAACAAATGATACGAGGTTTTTAGATTCTATGTGAAAGTTTCAATCTCACCAAAACGGCGAAAACAAACATATTAATTTTTAAAGAAACGTTGATTTTGCCTTCAACTTATACATAACATTACTATTTCTTTTATTTAGGGCTGATTTAGAGAAAGTGAATTAAACTTTTAATTCAGAATTAAAATATAGTTCGAATTAAGTTGTCATTTAATTTGCATAGTAAATAACTGTGGCTTTGACGTAAATTTCTCCAGAGTCAAGTCTACGAAGTGAATATAATCTAATAAATGTTTATCTGAAATCTTGAAGAAAATTAATACTTCTTTATCAACGATTATTATTATTATAATCATAAAAGAATAACACTAATGTTTGTATACAAGGTATTTAAAAAAAAATGTAGTCACGATCTTTATTTTGTTTAGTATTTTTTGTATTTTGCTGAGAAATAACTAATGCTATCAAGCCTGACATTGACAGTTTTATATTTTCCAATGGAGCTGTTCTTTAATTTTTATGAAAGATTTGTTATCTTTCATAGGACATCATATCATGACATATGAATTCTTTGAAAAGACGTAACTCAAAAGTTTTGTGTAGATTTAATACCTACATTTTCTACGATAAGTAAAATATGTTTAACCTATTTTTAATTAGATAGTGTTTGAGTTGTAATAAATATGAAAAAATCAGACAGATAGAGTTTGATATGGAATGTATAATTTTATTGTTTGGTGAAGTTTATAAAAAAAAATTAGAAAATGAATTTAATTTACAATAAAAATATTTGTTGATCTAGAATTAAAAGGTATGAGTATTGTACCATTTTTTGAATTTTTGATATCAACTCTAATTCTTTTGCATATGATCAATGATTTATGTAATTACTGTGAAAAGTATTTCATTTAATTTTGTTGCAATACACATGTTTATGAACTCTCGACATGTTTAGCACTTGAATATAACAATTATTGCAACCTAAAACTTTAAATATGACATTGTTTTATAATGTAGATACATATACCGAATTGCTCGACTGATTTCGAAATTAATTTGAAGCATTCTATTGTATTAGTTATTAAATTCTTTTCTATTTAGATATCTATTTTTTATCAAGTTACTTGTAATTTATAATTTCGTGTTTGTTAAAATGAAGATATAAAATAGTAGGAACCATCCAAATTGTGTGTCCCAAAAGCTTTTAACCACTAAGAACAAATTACAAACTTACGTTTATGAGAAACTGCATGTAATAAAACCAAACGGTGTGCTATTATAAGCTATTGTTGTATTATTTTATTTATTACTTTGTTATATACTAAGATAAATTTAATATCTTAAAATTTCTAATGGAAAAGGTAAGTTTTAATTAAATTCATTAATCGTTAGAGACCACCAAACTGGATATTATAAATATAAATTTAATCATTAAAAAATATTTTATTTTTTATTTACTATACATGATAGTAATGAATCAACAGAAATCCTAAGATAAAATTTTTTTAAATGTTATTTATATAAATATGATTAAATAAGTACGTGTAATTACTCGTATGTACATAATGAATTATAGTTTCGATATTTTTTAAGCATTATCTGGTGCCTCTTAAAAAAAATAAAGCGGGTTATATGTCAATACAACTTCAATACAGTTGTAGTGCTGAACGAAATAGGCGCTTTGCTTTGCTTTGCAACGGAAGTATCTACACAGGAATAAATAAAGCTGTGCAGTAAATGCGATAGATCTTACCTCCTAATAAAAAATAAAGAAAAACAAATAATACACTGCAACTTGTGATAATTATGCAGAAAAAAATGTATATTTAAAAAATTATTATTTATTTAAAAAATGTTTGTGATGTCTAATTTTGCAAATTTTATTGTCTTATATAATTTTTGTACATTTTAGATTAAATTTAAATTTGTGTGGCAAACAGACGTCAAATTTAGAATGCTAGGACTACAGTTTTTAGTTTATAAATATAAGCGATGACTGATGGTTGTAAAATTGCAAGAATTTCTATCACAAAATTAAAAAGAACTTATGTAGACTGTAGGACGGACCAAATTAAAATTAATTATACTATACAATTTCGGTTTATTCTCTATTCGGTGAAACAAAACATATAAACAAAAACGTGTTGTTTGCTTAGAAGAAAATACATACATGCTTTTCTACGAACAAAAAATAATTAATCTCTTAAGTGAACAAGAGTACATTAAATGAATTTTACTTATTTGAAGCTAAAAGGGGATCGATTCTGTAACGCAATCTTTTTAACTTGTTGCTTTCTTACGCCCACTTTTTATTAATTGAATCACTGGATTACGAAAATGGAAAAGAGAAATAAATAGATAATGGTTATACATTTTTTTCTCACAGAAAATTTATTTTTATGATCCATTTTTATTATTTTACTGCAAAATTTGTTGTTTAATATATAAAAATGTTAAACTGAAATTGTTTTTGTTCTAAAAACTTAATAAGCGGAAAATTTAAAAAGGAATGTTTCCTTGATAAATTGTTTCAGGAAAAAAGAATTTCGTGACCAGAATTTCGAGATACTTTTTATTGGTCAAGATGCAAGGACACTTTAGCTACCTTGTAGTTTCTTTGTGACCATTGTAAGCGTTTGATTTTTAGAACGCTGGAAATTTGAACTATGCTCTTTACTGAAAAGCCAAGCCAGGAAACAATGTTCTGTTTTTAACATTTTTTGTTTTTTTTTTTGTTTTTTCTACGAGGCGGATTGTTAATTGTACCTAATTTTAAACAAACTTTACAAATAAATCTTAAAAAAATGTATTTATACTCCAGCTGTTTCACTTCTAATTAGCCCCACAGCCTCACCTATGACATTCTACACTCGATTGTATTTTCAACTGTCTAAATATGAAAATATAAACCAACGAATCAGACAAGTTTTTTATTTGCATATCGGCCGTGTGGTGCTTAATATTTCTGTTTCTTAATAGCTGGAAGTCGTTAGTAAGAATAGACTTTCTGTCATTTTCATTCTCTTAACAGAATCTAAAAAAAACTGGAGAATAAAGCCATTACCTAATCTGTATTTTTTTATTTAGTTGTAACTTTGGTGTAAAAAATCATAATCATAATCAATTTTTTATGAGAATTTACTTTATCATTATTTTTGAAATCAAATTATTTCTATATTTTTTTAATTTATTTTCGAGTGTTAAAATTTCAACTCCCACTTTTATAACTACATATAAGAAATATTGAAATTAATGTAAAACCATTTCGTTTAAAAAAAATAGACAATAATTAGGTACTTGTATTTTTATTTTTGCGTTGGAAATTCTTGCGGTTGGTATGTAAACTTTAAAACTAGCTAACAATGGAGTTAAGAATGTCGGCTGAACACATTTAGAGCATTTTTACAATGTATAAGCAGCCATTTAAGGAAATGTAAAAATGAGACGCTTTTTAAAAAGAAACAAAACAATTGTCATCATTATAAGATGAAAACACTGTAGGTTTATGTTTAATTCAGAATGTCATCGAGTGACAACCCATGAAGACTTAGCATATTATTCGAAGAATGTAGATCAGAAAAATCCAAGTAATAATATATAATAACCGAATATTATTTAAAATTACGGCTTAACAATACACTCGTACTTCTCCATCCATAAATTACACTTTATGCAAAATTGTTGAAAAAGAATATAATATTCCCCTGTGCGATAGCGCACGAAATCCACCGAGCGCAACCTAGTGGAACACGTTGAAAAGCATTATCACTGGAATGTTTGGAATACGCCGTGTTTCAGTAGCAGCCGCGTCGTCGGCGTCGAAGGCACTGTTGAAGGAGCGTCGGAGGTGAGCGTCGAACTTACGCGACTTCTCCTACTTGCACCAAACTTTTAAAAACTGTTCGAAGTGCGACTATAATTTTGATGGCCTCATCTTGACTATCTTCAGACTTGAAAAACTACCATTAGGCAAACTTTTTATGTGTGTCGTGAGTAATAACAGTTCGGTATAGTTATTTATAGTGGCAAATTAATTTTGTGAAATGTAATTTTTTGACAAATAGACAGTGACTTTTAAGAAATGGAAGGCACATTTAGCGCCAGCTTTGGAGTACTCCTTTATTTTATGATCTTCCAAGGTAAGCTTTCTCAATTCCTCCCACGAATTTATTACCGCAAAGTTTTTTTTTATTAATACAATCATTTTAAATTACATTACAAAAGCTCATTTTTCGTCAGAGTGGAGGAGATAATAAAACATTAACGTAATTACAATGAAAGTGCGGTAATCCTTATGGCCTACATAATTTTTTTAATAAATAATTCATATTCTTACGACCAGAAGCGTGAAACTAAATTATTATCACAGAAAAAAATAGATAAAATATTCACTTTAAAGCTGTTCTAAATTTAAATTTAGCAAGAGTAGACAAAATAAAGCAATGAACATGATCAACGGACGATGATCTTCGAAGTTCATGGTGAGCATTACGCACCTCCCCATATGGATGCTATTTATAACCAACTAACTTTGTCTTGAGACATTCTAAATATATTGTATGAGTGACGCTTTATGAGTGTTGTTTGTGAATTTAAACTTTTTCTATCAAGATTTTAATCTTTAAAACTTTATTAAACAAACACAAATAATGCTATAAAGACAAAGGTTACTAATATTATGAACACATACGAGTTTTGTCTCTTCTTTCCGCCCGCATTCGTAGACCTAATAACCCTCGAGAAATATTTAAGGTGAATTTAAAATGAATTAAAGCAAAATAAAAGTGATTTATTTTTCCCCCACATTATTATTTTATCGTTTTCCTAAGATAAAAAACATACTACAGTCGGAAGAAAATAAATAATCCTCTGCATTTATTAAACCATTTGATATTTGAAATTTATGAATCTTTTATATAGTCTGCAACAAACGCACGTTTTTTTTTTTCAATAAATCCTTTTCAGACTTTTTCTTGTTGTTACCCACCTATATGGACTATAAGTATAAATGTTCAACTCATTTTTAAATTTACTAGAACAAATTAGGACAAGTTAATGGTTATTGACGTGGGATAGAGGATTTATAAAATGGCACATTTCCATTCTAAATAGGGCTTTACCTTTCTTGAGAGGAAAAACAGACCGATCGTTCAGTGACGCACAATTAAATACTAAAAGCCTACCACCCAAACATTTATCTTATTAACTCTTTTAGGGGGAAAATGTTTTAGATGTGGTTTGAATCGTGATATTCGTGATCTAATGGTTTTCTCTAGGTTATTCGAAGGTGGAGGCGAAATTTCTAATTATAGAGTCGTCAAATTTAAAAAATGGAGTGACTAGTTCGTGTCAGATGTTGACATTTAATTTCTGATAATAATTTGGAATCTTTTAAAAAGAGTCACAACTGTGCTAATTTTGATGACTTTTTTTAAACTACAAAAAAGCCGAAAAAATATTAGTTATTTAAGAGTCTCATCATGGGTTGCTCTAATTGTGTGTATACACTCTTTACACTCTTTGAGTTTTTGAAATCCTCGTTTTCATTAAACAAGCTCCAAAAAGAATACAACAAGATATTATGTTATCATGCTTTATTTACTAATCTACAAGTGCTATGTTTTTTGTTGATGTTATTACAAGTTATTTAGATTTTAGTTGTGATAATGGTAAAGTAATTGATTCAAGAAAACATCGATATTTTCCGATGTTATTATTTCCTGTTTTGCTTCAAAAGCTGAGAAACATTATTTACGTTCTCTTCCGTCAATATCTTGGAGGTAAATTAATTTGAATGTAAAATTATATTGAAATATTGTACACCTAAAACAACAAAAGTATTTTTCTTGAAAAACAAATAAATTTAGCACTAATTTTGTTACTAGGTCATTTTTCCATGTTTTCTTTATAATATAATTTCAAAAATCGACTCGTATTAGATTTTTACTTTTTTTTGTAACTTAATGTAACTTTTCTCATAGTCAGCAAGTAAATTCAACAAATTTTGTTTGAAAATAACGTTCAAAGTTTAACAAATCTCCTGTTTCGAATAAAATAATCAGCTTATCTTTAAATTTTTGCAATGAAGTATTGATAGCTATTTTTAACTGTTTAACAGTTATGGGAAAAGTTTAAGCGTAAAAGCAAAAATTGTATTTTACTGTTGAATATTGAATGATAACAGTTATTTTTAGTTATTTAATAGAATATTTTGCCATAGCTGAATTGATATCAGTGTATTTGAGCAAATAGTTTAATCAACATTTTTCGTACTGTAATTTATATTGGAATGCAGTTAAAGCGGTGATGTGGTAGATAGCCTACAAAACAAGAATAGTTTGTATGAAATTGTGAAATAATGTTATTAGTGCTTTGATATTTTTTACACATATTATTATTTTTTCATTTTTGGATAAAAGATATTTGTGAGAAGCTGGAGTATTAAAGTTTTGTGATTTAAAAAGCCATTTTGCTGCACATTCTTTCTTCTTTATTAAGTTACGTCTTAAATCTGTTACAATAATAACCCATATTATCCAGTACGCTTTAAATTTTCATAGGATAACAGCTTTAGTTGATTACTTATGCTTGATGCTTTTGTAGTATGGCGTTCGTGTGGAGCGTTTCTGTAAATTCCGTAGCTGCAGGCGTTAGAGCAAAATTATCCGCAAAATCAACGATATTAGATTAGAAGCGTCATAGTTAATTTCGTGTGGTAACAACAACATTCAAAGCTTAACGCAGTTTTTTAAATTCATTTTACGAATCATTGTTTCTGTTGCAAAAGCAACGAGTGAATGCTATTCGCTCATCTACTTTTTGTGTTTGCTAGTTCGGAACTGCTTTGTTTTAAAAGATATTTGATTAAACTGCAAGACTCAAAGGGATCTGAAATTATTTCACGCAACATAAATATGTAATCCCGTTTCAATTTAAAACCTGGCTGTTTGATGTTCACGAGTGCTCATCACTTTATTTTGTTCTCTTTATCAAACAATCCGTTTTTGATTTGAAATCAATATTTTGGCGCTTTTTGAAATATTCCAATTAACGCGGACGCTTGATTCGTTTTTAGGAACTTTTCATTTCGACACGTTCCGATGATAATTGGGAATTTTATTGCCTCGAGTCAGGATAATTGTATGGGAATTTCAAGAAATGAAGCAATTTTGATTAATTTGCAGTTTGGAGAGTTTGCTTTTTTGTGAACAGTGGAGCCTTCACCCTTTTTCTGCGGTTGATGTTTGGATATGATTGGGGATGTAATTTCAGTTTGAAATTGTGAACAGTGCCATAACTTTCGGTTAATTTAACACCAAACACCATCCACATTATGCACTTAGCAGTTATTAGAATAGTTGTTAGTTTGTTCCGAGATGTTTGCTGGGATTGTACTTCACCCATCTGGTGAAGACAACCGCCCCTCTGCCACTGTCTAATTATAAACGCACATCCGCTCTCTGCCTTTCAAAAACAGACGTCTCGGTACACGATGTAAAGTTTCAATTTTCAAGACAGTTACAACAAACCAGTAATCTTCATATGTTACTTTTCAGTGGGATGATATTTTATAGACTTCAGAAGATTAAATTAATTTGATTCCTCGTTATGTTCGCAGGGTGTGACTGAATTTCCTGGAGCGTGTAGCCAGATTTATATTAAACTTTGCTATACAAATATTATACTAAGTTTTTTCTACTATAAAGGCTTTGAGATTGGCTTATTTTTAGTCATTAGCCAGAAGCTTTACAAGCTTTCTCTCTCTTTTAAATCATTTGTAATTAATTTAAAACAAAAGATGGTGTTGCACTTTTATTTAAATTAAACTTTTTTAGTAACAAAAAGGGTAGGTATTGTTTTTTCCTCATGTAAACTATTTTAAAAAAATGAGCGTAACTGTTGGGAAATTGAATACATTCTGGAAATACATTTAAAAAACCGTTGAAATATTTATGCTTTTTTTAAACATTATCGTACAAAAATGATCATAAGTAACGGTATGAAATTTACAATATACAGAAAAACTGTGCTGTGAAGTAAACCATTTTTCTTATTTGATGAAAACGTGACAAAAAATAAAATTATTTAGCTCAATTTGATAATCAGATGTCAAAGATATTGTTTTATATTTTTTTGCAAAATAAGTAGGTATTATTACCTCTTTAACAGTATTTACGAGTTTAGAGCAGCAAATTTATTTTAAATATTTTTTTGCGCTATAGACAACAAAAATTAGAGAGGTTAAGATTAAAATTAAAAAAATAAACCCAATATAAATAAATTTTTATTTAAATACAATTAACAAATATAACAAATTTGAGATTTTTAAAAGCTTTGCAAAAATTATTTTGAGAAAAAACAAATTGATTGATGGTTCTTTAATTGTATCCATAGGTGATAATAAATTTTGTTTAATAAATTTGTGTAAAAAGATTAAAACACTTGTTTAAACAGCGTATTAGGTAAGTGGATTTTAATTTTTAATTTTAGTTAAGGCAGTGCCTTCGCTGACATCAATGGTGCCCAAAAAACAGAAAGATGGCCGCCTTCGAGCTTTCGATCTGTCAACTACATTAAAATAACATTAAAATATCAAAAAGGAATCTGGAGACAGATTTTCTTCATATGAAGAATTTAATAGTCCTTTGGCAAATAAAACAAAGTAAAGCAAATTAGTTACATAAACATTTTGACCCAATACGTTCATACTACCTGTAACATCTTTTTTTAATACCAAAATAATTACTTTTTAACAATTTTATGCCAGAAATCGCAAAAAAATATGTACACACTGGGTAAGTAAGTTCAATAGGTAACTATTAAAAAAAGCAAAAATAATTTAATTTACATTCTGTGAATGTTTATACTAGTTATACTAGCAGCAACTATGAAATATTGAGGGTTTTAGTCGCTGATGATCTCTGGGGTTAGTTCTAACTATTATTGGTATTGTTTAAAAATACTGTTTTCGGTTAAACAATAAAATATTTCTCTTTGTTAAACTGTGATACTTGATACTTGTAAGATAAAACCTTTTAATATTAAACAACAGGATCAACTTGTAAGCGTGCTTATTGTGCTTCTTTGAATATAAATACGTAAAGAAAACGTGCAATTTTACCAAATTAACCCACTTTGC